TGGAACAAGCGGAGTTAAGTATCTTAATCAACGATACAACACAGTGCCGTGACGTTACTCGAACCTGCAACCTTTCGGTTTCGAGCCCAGCGTCCTACCACAAGACTACCGTGCCTCAAATAACATCATTTAGAATAAGCAGTTAAGAAAATCTACGCAAATGCGTGTTCGGGTAGCTTGTGTATTAATATTTCAGAAATCGCCCTTAAAGCTTTGTGAATATAGAACTGGACTGTGGTAAAAGCGTGCATATATGACCGAAATATATATAAAGCAAGATCACTTTAGTTAACCTAAGATTCCAGCATTTCTTGTCCTTTTCAGTGCCTGGTTTCCTTGACAATTTGCCACACTGGTATCCGTTACGTGAACATGACAACACTACTGGTGTGGAACTTCCAAAGCCAACGGTGCTGCCACCTACCATAAGGTCTGTACAAAACACCATCCGAACAGGATCACCGAATCAGTCGAGAGGCAGCAGAGATTCCCCGAGCAAACAGTATCGGGTAAGTACAAGGCATTTTTTTAAGGCATGTGAAAATAAATGATAATACTGACTGCATATTATGTTATTATGAGATATTATAGCATCCTTCAAAACCTTCAAATCTATGTTAATTTAAGACCGAATTAAAAAAAAGGAAACAATTTAATTTTTTCCTTCCTAAATGGCAATGTTTATTTCCGGATATGCATATGTCTAGCTTATTTTCATACATACAGAACAGTTAGTTCTATTTGATTTGACATTATGGAGTTTTCTCTATCATGGAAAGGGAGATAACTATGAAATGATTGTGCTGTTTATTTCTACGGCCATTTTTATGGTAACGTGCGTTTTGCTGTTGATAGTTTCAAAAACTGCCAAAACTCTATGTAAATGGCTGCATCACGAAACAAGTTATATTTAACAGTCCCATCCATATCTTTGCTCACTTAGAAAGTGTTTGTTTGGGACCTGAGGCAGCACTGGCGTGTTAACATCGATTGTTCCCATGTCATCTGCGTTTGTTAGCTCGGTATATTATTTTGTCTTTTAATGGCTGCATCACGTGATAAACGTGACAATGTTAATGTTGAGTAGTATTTTCCATCGACATTCAGAATATCGACATAGATGTTTCATTCGTAATAAAAGTGAATATTTTACGTTCAGGGTAATAAAGGAGATGGACTAGGGGGTAGAAGAAGGTCGTTAGGAGCTTTGACAGATGTCGACAGTAAGTAAACAGCCTCTGTATTGATGTTGTGATTGTGTTGTGTTCACTATGGATTTCAGTTGTGTGGTTCTAAGCAATGAACTACTGTTCAAATCACTTTTATTTCTGTATTCGAATATGTTGACTAATTTCTATGCTACAACAAAGTAACTAGTTTATTGTATTTGTTTGTACTGTAACTACTAGGGAATGGTTCTTGTTGTGTAACTAGCGGATGATATACATGATATTTTCAAGGTTGCATTATTTTTTGGTATACAAACCACTGATACATATTTAGTAGTGAATTGGACGCTATGTGTATGTGTGCTATCTCTACTCTCTACAACCGGACTGGAGGCATAATTACACAACAAACGTCAGACTCCAAACTGTGCTTCTCGGCCAGAGTCTTCATTGACTTCACTTTTGCTCTGTAGGACTAACTACCTCTGAATCTATGGACATCTCCTCGACTCACTCTTCGCCTCTTCTGCCGCACAAACCACGTGACATGCACCTTCAGTCGTCTGAGCATGCTCCTGGTAAAGTAGTCCATTGTTTCAGTGGTTTGTCGCACATCATGTCTGTAGCACGTCACATCCTGTACCCCCGTTCAAAGAAGAACAAATACTGTGCACGCCTTTCACATCGGCTCCTTCCTAAGAAAAATAGCGAAAACAGGTTATTGCGTTTTAAGCTACTCTCTGTCTCTATCCTTCCTTCCTTCCTTCCTACTTCTATCGACTATCCTTACAAATTTAAACGGGAAATCTCTTTATTTTTCCGCATGACTGAATATTGAGTTTTTTGCTCCCATCGATCTTTCACTTTCAAGAAGTTTTCCTTGGTTCCGCTCACTCCATTGTTCTGCTTTCTGTGATGTGTTTTGTTCCTTGTCAAGGTTTATATTATTCCGTATGTTTTTATCATGTTCCTATTTCAAATTCTTATTGTTGTCTTTTTTCTATTTTTACACTTTTTGATGATTTATATACAACTGTGAATATTTATGTATTATAATATCTGTGTTATAGAAAAGAACTAAGTCTTTTGATGATTTTTGTTTTCTATTTATGTCATACTTCTATGAAGAACAAAGAAATATATTAAAACCTTTTAATATGTGTATTTATAACTATCTTAGAATCTGACAAATATACTGAATGTGCTATCGATTTCTTATAGGACATGTGTCATATATAAATGAGTCAATGATGGTGAACAATCGTAGATTTAATTTTGGATGCATCTTTTAGAGAAATAACTGAGCTATTTTTTCAAATTCAAAGTAACGATAACTCAATGTGCTTCTTGTTAGAAGGTTAGCTTAGGTAAGCTATGATATTGTTTAAAATACTGTGGTAACTAATACTAATATATGTTCTTATTTCAGCGAAAAGAATGTAAATAATTGCATGCATAGATGAAATAAATCAAATTAAAATACACTACTTGTATTCAAACCTCATGCCACTAACATGTATACCTTACTTCATGCATGTTCGATGCACCCATCAAATAACTAATCATAAATCATTCATAAGTCTGTATAATCCTGCCCCCATCATTAAAATCGCACATGTATCATTTCACTAACTCCGCGATATAAACCTATATCTGATAGTATGAACACGCAATGCACTTGTGAGCTGATTAGTAAAAATCAAAGATAGATTATATATTCAGAAGTCTACACTTCATATAGGGTATGCAAATATTTGTTTCGATTTTAAGTATATCATAATTTATTAGATATTAAAGATATGTTGTCGCTACGCGTGGTAATTCCTTCGTGATTTTGTATTTTGAAAAGACTCGCTCAATATCGAAGCAAACTAAGTTGAATACACTTCACAGTTGTATACAGATGATCAACCTGAATAACCTTTACACATAGCCACAGTCTTGTGATTGTACGACATTAGAGTTAGCTGTTGCTGTTTTTAATTACAGTACACGCTTCGTCTCTATTTTGAATCATCTCCAATAGCTTAAATGAATCACTTAGCATGATGTTAGGGAAGGAACGAACCGCATGGTTTCTGAACATTAAGGCTGTGTTTCATGGAATGACTGACGTCCATGCTAGATGTGTAGCGTCCGACAACTCGTCTGTTGAACTTTAGCTGTAAAGCAATTTATTTTACATGTTATATCGTATATGTAAAATAAAATTAATATCAAACGGGCACTTCATATAGATTTTGGATTATGCAGGGTTCAAATAACAGTATGACACAATATGACAGTACCAATAACTGCCATATGTTCATTAAGGTCGTCTTTGAAACGTTTTATTTGCTTTTTGAGAAATATTTTCTGAAGGGTATTCATAAGAATGAAATCTCCCACTGTAAAAAAATCTTTTTCAAATCATTCATTCTAATTGTTGCAAGAAGTGTTTATATTCCTTACAATAAGTCGAAAAATAAAGATAGTATTTTAATTGCTTTTAAGTACAACACGTGTAGAATAGTAAGCATCCTGCGGTCAATCTTTATTTTGAACAATCTTGTTCTGTTTCATTGCAAAAAAGCGGGATTTTGAATAAGTATATCTTATAGAAACAAACGGTCTATTTTAATGATATCTCAACTCTTACCTTGAAGTTTTCTTTTACCTATTTCACGCAATAGTTGTTCCAGTATGTTAATGTAATTGCACTTTTTTAATTCCAAAGATTTGTTTTGAAACAAGTGCTAACATAATTATAGGCCATGCATTGTAATTAGTTTGATAATAAAGAGGCGATACTTGGCAATACTAGATACTGCTGTGTTAGGCATATTGGGATTCGAAAGAACGTGTTTGAGGTTTTAACACCATCAAAAAGATTGTCTTACGAACAATGTCTAAAACACTTTGTCGCTAGGTGAGGCTAAAATCAACTTTGCTGGTTCGAATTCGTTATGAATAGAAATGTTTTGAAATAACATATGGACAGAATATGTAAAATGTTGCATTCAAAATGCATCATTGTCATACCATTTCTATGCTTTGCGCAGACGCAAATGAATTCAAAAATATTGTTTTAAATTGAAGAGGTTTTTGAAGTTAGTCTCGAGTTCGTTATTACGGGGTTCGACTTAAAAATTCATATACCAAGTGAGCATTACCTTTTTAAATTAACAAACCACTTATTGACATGCGCACTGCTTGTCTCACCAAACTTTTTATGGCAGTACATAGCTGTTAGTAATCTTGATGTGGAGAATGCTTTTTGCCAACTTTTACGTTTGAAATTATCAACACCACTTTATAAACATCTAGTGTTTTCTTTATAATTAGAAATGTGGTTGTTGATGAGCAACATTGTAAATGAAATTCCACTCTTAATATGTCTTTAAATCAATGCTTTGATATGTTATTCATAGTTTGCTGATTTATGTTATAATTTTCTTTGACAGGGGTATGAAGACAGTGTGGCAATATCATTCATTCGGATGAAGAGAGCTATTGTTTTCAGGTAAGGAAGTTCCGAAAATGACTAATAATTAATGCGAGTTATCTACCTTATGTGTTTAACTTAGGAATTGTCCTCATTTGACTATGATAAATTCGAGGAACACAGCATAAATAACTAATATCTTTAAAAACTGTAATATATAGAAAAATACATATTGACCGAATAGCAACTGACAGCCTTCACCCTTCACGGGGCTCTTCATATATATTTCAAATGTATATGTCATTATGTATAGATAAAACGATAGACCAGTCAATGTTATGTTCTTGATGTGTTATGATTATAAAAGCTCAGGGCTTGTTGTTTTGCAGGTTAGTTTCCTAGCTATCTGTGATATTTTCACCAACCCTGGTTACATGATTTTGGACTATGATGCATGAAATACATGTCAAGATTGATCCATCACCGAACCCGTGTATGTCAAGACTCTTCACGTATGTCTGCCACCGGAACAATGGATGTCAGGAGCGTTTCTGTCTGTCTTTCACCGAACCAAGGTGTGATGGAGTTTGCCATTTCTATAAGTCGTTGAAACTAGGTATACCATGCATGGGCAGTTGTGTTCTCTACCTACCCAAAGAATGTTAAGACCGGTAAATATTGTGCTATACAGAATAAACATATATCAGGAGTGGTCAGTTCTGACTGCAAATGAACCAAAGCCTGTCTGGAGTGGTCAGTTATGTAACCCTCGAACCACCTTCTACGATCATATATCACCACGGAAGCTCATTAAGGCAATGTTTCCTTTGTACAATATTCCAAACGATTGCGAGTCTTCAATAACAAAATTTACATCGTAGTCAGTAATGATGCTGTTCAGTTTGTCGCTGCATGTGTATTTCAATACCAAATTATGACCTACATCCGGTGTTCCATTATCATATGTTTACAGATAAAGAAGACGATGTTGTAACATATGAATTAATTGGTGACAGAATTATGTTTTCTCCACATTGTTCTAAATAATTACTACATTCTTGGAAAATACTACAAACAGTAAATGAAAGAATTCTACTTAAAATAAATCAACTATCATTTTAGTCCATACTCACCAAAGAAGAATAATAATTATTATTATGCTTCCATATGCCGCATTTATTTGAAAGTATTATGAAATCGTATATTTGAAAATTCTCGAGTGTGGAAGTTCTTGTGCTGTGATTCTCTAAGCTGAACTCGGTGTTGAATTTTTTCGCGTTTGCAATGTTTAACAAAAACTGTGTATTCAATATATCTAAAATTAATAATATCTTTAAGTAAATATTTGTAGATTAGTTCCCTCCAGGCGCAAAAAGCCAGCATTTCCAAACCGCGAAAAAGTCCACCTTTACAGAAACAATGTATACGAAGAAAGTATAAATGTGTTGCTATTCGGCAGCCTGAGGTACAGTATGTGGGTGTATAGAGGATTGATTTGCATAATAATACTGTCTTCCATGAGTCTGGTGTTCATTGCGTTACAATTTCTGCCGTTCACGAGTTATTGTGTTCTCAAATATGTCCTGACTTTCATCACAAATAGAAATACAAGATATATTTGCAACTTTTGTTATTGAGTTTGAAATGACAAAACAGATCAAAAATAAAGTTAATGTAAGTAATACCGAATAAAAATGTATTTAAAGACATTATATTTACATTAATATATATTATCAGCAAATATTTCGTCTTATAGTGCTATCATATGTACTATTCTCAACGTATGCATTACTTGATGGCATTAAATGGCACTGTGTAAGTCCTCAACACACCTAGATGAGCTTGGATTTCAAATGATGATAATTTCAGTATTATTCTAACCGCGCTCGAGTCAAAAAGAATAGACTTTTTCTACCATATAAATGCATGACCTTCTTATGTTAAACCTATCTTCTCTAGTCAATGTATAAAATGGTAGTCTGAAACATTTAGATCGTCCATAAAGCGGGTAACATTCCATTTCATTACATGTACATTATGTACAAATATCATCTTTCGAAGTTTATTTAGCGATTTCCTGTATATTTTAGATATTGTATATATATATATATATAGACTTAACAAACCTGATGGATCTCACCGTAACGATACATGTATCTTAAATTGTTATTTATCTTCTCTTGTAACAGTGAAACATCAAATTAACATCAACTCGTTAAAGTAACTATCAGCAAATGTAGACTATTTACGTAGAATACATTCTTTGTAATAGATAATAAACGGTTTATAAATATTTAATAGAAACATTTGATCGCGTTCTTCATTTCTCCTGTCTCCATCAGTAGAACTATTTTTCTTCATCATAGAGTCAGTAATTAATAAAAATTCACGAGACCAAAAGACGACACGTTAATTGATTCTCTCTTTTTTTCAATGAATGGTTTCTTTTTCATTAATACGGAGTTAAGTGACGTGAATTAAAAGTAGATTGTCACGTGATCTTATATGCACATTTACATCGTTGATATATCACGGTGAATTGTTTCTATTGTCATATCCCATTGTTATTCAAATACAATTGTGATGTATAACAATTTTTCTATGAAATATTTAGATGTTATGAGACTTGTAATCTTATACCATGTGCATTTAGTGAGAGAGAAAGAAGATGATTTGAAAGCAATAGGTGGAATGAATCATTTTTATTGTTGGTCTATTGACAAACAATGATAGAGTGAGATGAAGGTAAATCCTTATCTTCGCTTTATTGCAACAGGGATGAACCGTAAATTTATTTAAGAATTGCTGTAGGATAGATTCATCAACATTTCAGGCAAACAACAGTTTCATGATAGTTTGTATAAGAAAGTTTTTTTCTTGCATACCGTAAGTGCCAAATGATGAATTCATATAATTGTTTTATTGTATTTGTCTTCGTATAGAATTATGTCAAATGAATGGTTAGCGTTAGATTGGTAAATGATAATCATTTCATTACATAGGATATGATTGCAAATGTATGAGATATAAATGTATGAGATATATAATTTATCAATCGCCTTCCGTTTTTATCAGGTTTAAGTGTACAATGGCTGTCTTGTGCTTTTTGATTGTAAATGGAGTAACAAAAACGTAGAACTATTTCCCCTTGTAACTATTGTACATGGATTTTATAAAATGTTGACCAGTGCACAATGTATACATGGAAGAACTTGTTCGCCATGTTAAACATTATATGTATAGAAGTGAATGTTTTGAACAAATAATGTAAACATTGTCCTAAGCAACGTGCATATGTTTCACATCGTAATTTACAAAGTATATCTCTTGTCAATGGTTTTGATATAGTATCTGGTCCCTCATTTACATATAAAGTAAAATAAGTTCTTATTCATTCAAGAGCAAAAACCCATTAAATATTTATATATCTATATATATATATATCTGTCATAGCTCCTTTGTGAAGTTGAATTCTCTTATATTGACGTCAGCACCGAGTGATCTAGATGTTTATAGCTGCAGTTGCAAGTGAGAGATTGTCTGTTGATGGGTAGTTGTTAGTTGGAAAGAGTGGTGAGAATGATATATCAGCGTAATTATAACGCTGAGTTCTCTGTGAGGTCAGTTTCATTGTGATTCGGATGTTCATATGTGCGTGCATATATACACGTGAACGTATATTGGATCGGTCTGTTCGGGCGCTAGGTTAGGCGAGTACATGATCGTCATTGTTGTTATCATATTTATGTATCGGACGTGAAGTATGTCCTGAATGAGTTGTTAATATTTTTAATAAAAATATAAAATCCACTTTATGGTGTTTTATTATATTTATTTTCTGTTAATAGTCTGGTAATAGTAACTTGGTGCCGATTTATCCCTG